AGAGAGAGAGTGACAGACAAAGAGAGAGAGAGTGACAGACAAAGAGAGAGAGAGAGCGACAGTCATCTGGAAATCTTCACTCCAATCTACGTTCCCTGGGGAAAACAGGTCATAACAGGAACACAAGTCAGCAACGTGGCTACCACAGGCAGGCAGATGACCGAGCCAACAGCTAGAGAGAAAGCTCTCCCTGGACAGTCAAGTCGGGGTTTGCGTTAATGATATTAAGCTACGTGGGCGAAGGGTTTTATACAAAGTACCTGAAGCACTTGTGGGAGACAGAGTGCAAGTAGATCAGAGGGCCTCCCTCCTAAGGCAGTGGGCCGGGGAAGGGCTTCCTCGATACCAGTGACAGCCTCCCTTCCATGGTTACACCCTCACCAGGGTGGCCTTGATTGGGGGGTGGGGGGGGAAACGCTCGCTACTGGTGGTGGGCACCACAGGGGCTACAGCCCACCTCAGCCCCGGGAATGACACCCAGCTTTAACATGGAGTTTCTCTTGCAGAATCAATCTCTGTTCAAGTGCCTGCATGACCTCATTTGGTTCAATTAAATAAAAAAAAAGGATAAGAGAGAGACTGGAGGATATGAGTCCACTCTGCCAAACCTGTGAAAATCTCAGGGGTGCAGATTCCTTTTCTCCCTCTCACCCATTCATTTACACCCGTTCGACATCTCAATCTCTCCTCTATCACTGTTAGCACTCCAAACCCTTCACCCATTCGACATCTTAATCTGTCCTCTACCACCATTAGCACTCCAAACCTTTCAGGATTCATGGCGAGGGTTAGTTTGCCAAGGAAGGCATGCCAGTAAGGTGGCCAAGTGGGGCCGATTATCGGCTTACAGGTCCCTCCAAATACGCCAGACGGCAAGCCACAGGAGAAGGGGGGCTCCTGTGCAGCCACCCCATCGAAAAGCGATGGCAAAGTGTAATTACGGGTCGATCTGATGGCAGTCCAAGGTTGCCATTGTCATCAGAGGAATAGCACCTTGACCTCAAAGGACAGAGAGTGAGAGAGGGTACGAGTTAGGGGAGGAGGAGGGTCATTTCCATGCAGCGAGGTGCTGTGACATGGGATGTGCTGCCTGAACGGGCAGTGGAAGCATATGCAGGAGGAACTTCCAAAAGAGGAAGGGGATGGGGAAAGAATTGGAGCAATACTGGAGGCATTTGCCGGGGAATTAATAAAAAAGGGGGTGGAGAGGGGGAGGGGGGGTGATTATTGCACTTAATTGGAGAGCTCTTTCAAAAAGCCAGTAGAATGGCCTCCTCCAACACTGCAAGATGCGTGAGTGTTCAAACAGCTCAGGTGGGCCACCCGCCAAGATTCCGAGAGCAAAGAGCGTGGAGATCTCCAAAAGATGGAAAACAACTCTCACAGAATTACGTACAGAATACTGAATGGCCTGGACACAGTGGATGTTGGGGAGATGCTTCCATTGGTAGGAGAGACTGACCCGAGGGCACAGCCTTAACAGTAAAGGGAAGACCTTTTAGAACGGAGATAAGAGAGAAACTTCTTCAGCCAGATAGTGGTGAATCTATGGAATTCACTGCCACAGAAGGCCGTGGAGGCCAGGTCATTGAGGATGTTTAAGATGGAGATAGATAGGTTCTTGATTGTCAAGGGGATCAAGGGTTGCTGGGAGAAAGCGGGAGAATGGGGTTGAGAAAGGTTTCAGAGTAGATTTGGGGTTGGGAAACTTATCATCCATGATTGAATGGCCTAATTTCTGCTCCTGTGTCTTATCGTCTTAACTCTGCACTTGACGCGCACACACACACACACACACACACATACAGACACCCCGCCCGCCTGCATACTCCCCCCCCCCCCCCACCTCAATCCCTCCTCCCCCTCTGATGGGTTTCCCGTCTGGAGCTGATAAATACCTCTTATCCCCATGGCTGGGGCCTGAAGGCAGCTGCAGGTAGAGGTAAAGCTTCTCTACGTCTGAGAACACTTTCACGTCTTGCTGTAAGGAAAAGTGAGAGAAGACAAAGAGGAACAGTGTCGAGTTGACCGCTAACTGATCGCCACCGACTATTCTTCACCGTAAGCCCCACAGTCAGAAGGTTGCTGGCGCAAATCCCAACACTGGGGCATTCGAGGCCAGAAAATCGGGCCAAGGCAGCCGGTGCCGAGGGAACGCCGCACTGACGGAGCACCGCGCTGAGGGAGGGTCGGCGCTGAGGGAGCAGGTTAAAAAGAAAAACTATCGGGAACTCACCAGAACGTTATCCACCTTCAACTGAACATTCTTGCTGTGGAAGACAGATGAAACAGAGGGAGGTGACGGAGTCGGGGGGAGGGGAGGGGAAGAGAGAGAGAGAGATGGATGTTAACTGGAGTCTTGGTGTGCTTGGTTCAGGAGCTCAGGGCAGTGATGGCCAGTTGCCCGGGGTACAGTTGCCTCCTTACGCCTGGAGCCGGGGGGGGAAATCTGCCGTCTTTACCCACTCTGGGCCTACATGTGGCTCCAGATGCACCCCCCCACCACCTCCGTAATTAAGTGTGGGCAACCAATGCCTGTTGGGCCTTTTTTAAAATTTCTTTATTCATTTACAGGATGAGGTGGTCGGTGGCCAGGCAGCATTTATTGCTCCATCCCTAATTGCCCAGAGGGCAGTTGAAAGTCAACCACATTGCTATGGGTCTGGAGTCACATGTAGGCCAGGCCAGTTAAGGATGGCAGTTTCCTTCCCCTAAAGGGTGTTAGTGAACCAGATGAATTTTTCTGACAATCGACAATGGATTCATGGTCATCATTAGATTCTTAATTCCAGATATTTTACTGAATTCAAATTCCACCATCTGCCGTGGCAGGATTTGAACCCTGGTCCCCAGAAAGTTATCAGGGTCTCTGGATTAATAGTCTAGCCATAATACCACTAGGCCATCACTTCCCCGTCTAATAGAATAAAGATGGGTACACAGTGTAGGTTGACCCATGACATCAGCAGCAATAAAGGCATGGGAGACCAGGAGCCCCACACTGCACCTTGCCAAGATGGATGGGTAAGTACCCAACCTAGTTACTAAATGTTCCCATCGCAGGTGGGCGGGGGGGAGCTGCCAATTTCAGGCAGGGAGGGGGCCTTGGGCAGGACAAGACTAACGCTGAAACCTCCCCACGTCGACGTGCCAGCCTCAAACTCTCAGCTCCTCTTGGCATCTCCCACTGTCTGAGAGTAAGAGGGCAGGCAACATCGGGAGTGGGGCAGGAAAGGGAGAGGGGGGGGAACAGAAGGGGAGCAAGGGGAGAGGACAGCAGAGGAGGACCCCCACCGCACGACTACCACCACTCCCACCACCCCACCACCACCACCACCACCCCCCCCATCCCCATCCCCATCCCCATCCCAAAGTCAGGGCCAGTGCAGAAACACGTGAGCAGATGGTGAGCCAGATGCCGCTGCTCCAACCGCCACCGACCTGATACAGCCCTTGATCTTGTACAGCAGGGTACTTGGCTCTGTGTTGACACTGTCCGAATCAGCCACTGTCACAGTCGTTCGGTTTGGAATCTCCGACTGAGGCACCTCCTCCTCCATTGCATCTAGTCTCTAGGAGAGAAAAAACATAGGAAAAACATCACTGAGAGAGAGCAAGAGCGAGAGAGATGGACAGATGGACAGACTGACAGAGAGCAGGGGGAAGAGAGAGGGCACCAAGTCAGTCTATCACGCGACAAATGTGCAGTCACAACCCACAGTGAAAAGTGCACACATACTTTATTCCTGGGGACATCACCAAAGTTAAAGATTTAATTAAATATCGCTCAAAGTTCCCGATTTGCCCATCTCTGACAGACTTTGGATGGGGACATGAATGGAAAGGGTTTAGGAGGTATATGGGCCAAACGCTGGTAAATGGGGGTAGATTGATTTAGCATATCAGGTCTGCACAGACAAGTTGGGCCGAAGGGTCTGTTTCCATGCTGAATTGCTCAGGTTGAAACAGAATCACAAGTCACCATTTATTACAAATAACTTAATTCTAAACACAGGTCTATAAGAATAACTCACAACTTATAACTCTATTCATTAAAACTCAAACCCTTTTTTAAACCCCTACACACAGATGCAGACAGACAGTCAGAAATACATGGGTGTTATGGGGGTGAGGAGTAAATTCCAGGGAATCACAGTTCAATAGGACTAAGATTCAAGGAGGTGACCTGTTACTTGTTCCCAGTTCTCCTACAGAGGAGGGCCAGAGAGAGACAAGCTGTATTTTAAGAGCCTTCAGGATTTCTCCTGTTGTTGTACATTCACACATGTGCGCACACACTGTCCAGGAGCCAAATCAGAAAGCTGCTGACAGGCAGCAGTGTAAACATAACTGACAATGAGTTCCAGGAACTTGTTGTGAAACTGCAATACCACAGTTTCCTTGGTTTAAAGCAGAATCCTTTTCCCATTTTGCAGCACAGTCCAACAGTAATGAAAAATAACAATTTGTGGTTTTCTGTACAGCAGCAGAACATCCTACTTGCAAAGAGAAAGCATCTGTTTCTGTTTCTCTTCCTTGCTTGGGTGGAGAATCCTGAGCAGCTCGCTATTCTCCCTCACCTCTCCTCCCCTCTCCTCTCCTCTGTGAGCTGCTCTCTCTCTGCAAATTCTGCTCTATTTGAAGATAATACTTATACAATTAATGCTAGGGCCCTAGTAGTGTTGTAGAACAGAGGGGCTTAAGGGTTCAGGTACATAATTGTTTGAAGTTTGTGTCACATATAGACAGGGGGATTAAGAATGCGTTTGGCACGCTTGACTTCAGTGCTCAGACCTTTGAGTATAGGAGTTGGGACATCATGTTGAGGTTGTACAGGACGTTGGTGGGGCCTCTTCTGGAGCACTGTGTCCAGTTCTGGTCGCCCAGTTATATTGTTAAGCTGGAGAGGGTTCAGAAGAGTTTTACCAGGACTTTGCCAGGTATAGAGAGTCTGAGTTATAAGGAGAGGCTGGATAGGCTAAGACTTTTTTCACTGGAGCATCGGAGGTTGAGAGGTGACCTGAAAGAGGTTGATAAAATCATGAGGGATATAGATAGGGTTAATGGTAGGTGCCTTTTCCCTAGGATGAGGAATTTCAAGACTAGGGGGTACATTTTTAACTTGAGGAGAGAGATTTGAAAAGGACACAAGAGGTAATTTTTTTTGAACAAAGGGTGGTTCACATGTGGAACGAACTGCCTGAGAAAGTGGTGGATATGCGCACAGTTACAACGTATAAAAGACATTTGGATAAGTACATGAAAAGGAAAGATTTGGAGGGATATGGCCCAGGAGCAGGCAGGTGGGACTAGTTGAGTTTGGGATTATGGTTGGCACGGACTGGTTGGACCGACGGGTCTGTTTCTGTGCCGTATGACTCTGTAAGAACATAAGAAATAGGAGCATGAGGAAACCCTATCGCAGCCCCTCAAGCCTGCCCCTGCCATTCAATAACATCATGGCTGATCCAGCCTAGGCCTCACTCCCCTTTTAGGTCAGCATTTCATTGCACTCAACTCCCCAATATTTCAACAATCTATTTAACCTCCTCAATAAATACATTGAGTGGCCACGCCTCCTCGACTCTCTCAGGTCAGAAAGTCCAGACACTGAACTCCCTCCAAGAAAAGAAATTCCTTTGTATGCCAGCTTTAAAATGTGTGCCCATTTATTCCTAACTATACTCTCCTAGTTCAAGACTTCCACACACCAGAGGGCAAAAACTTCTCAGCATTGTTGCCCCTCATTGAAGCAACCTGCTGGAAATTCAGTCCCTCGTTTCCCGAAGAGATCACAAGCTTAACGAATTTAAAATTAGGAGCAGCACAGTGCCTCAGTAGTTAGCGTTGCTGCCTCACAGCGCCAAGGGACCCGGGTTCAATTCCAGTCTCGGGTGACTGTCTGTGTGGATTGTCAGTGTTAAATTGTCCCGTAGTGCCCAGGGATGTGCGGGTTAGGGTGGCTTGGCCGTGTTAAATTGTCCCGTAGTGCCCAGGGATGTGCAGGTTAGGGTGGCTTGGCCGTGTTAAATTGTCTCGTGGTGCCCAGGGATGTGCAGGTTAGGGTGGATTGGCCATGTTAAATTGTCCTGTAGTGCCCAGGGATGTGCAGGTTAGGGTGGATTGGCCGTGCTAAATTGTCCCGTACTGCCCAGGGATGTGCAGGTTAGGGTGGATTGGCCGTGGGAAATTGTCCCGTCGTGCCCAGGGGATTCATAGTATTTTAGTATCTCTATAAGTGTAGAAAAAAAACGATTCTTTGAGGAGCACCCCCCCACCCTATCCCTGTAACTCTACATTTCCCATGGCTAATCCCCTGGATGAATGTGGAGGTTGGGTGGGTTAACTAAGGGAAATGCAGAGCTACAGAGAATGGGTTTTGGGTGGGAAGCTGTTCACATGATCGGTATGGACTTGATGGGCCAAATGGCCTGCTTCTCTCACGATTAATTTATGATGGAAAGGCACGTAGAATTAGCCTGCCTTACAAAAGACACTTTGAAAAGTTAATTAAAAGTTACAACTGGAGACAACTGATGACAGGGAGCAAACTTCAAGGTTTGATGTGGTTCTCACTGCACAGCATGAGCAACTCCTACCCTTCAGGAAGCTTCGCCCTCTAACATTCCTGCCCCCTCTCTGAGCTGTTCCACACCCCAGGAGCTAATAACATTGCTGTCACCTCCTCCAGCCCCCCCCCCCCCCCCCCATCCCTGTCACCTCCTCCAGCCCCCCGCACCCCCTCCCTCCCCCCCCATCCCTGTCACCTCCTCCCTCACCCCATCCCTGTCGCCTCCTCCAGCCCCCTGCACCCCCTTTCCTATCTCTGTCACCTCCTACAACTCTCCATATCTCACAGTGGCTACTGTGACTGTGTGTCACGCCTACCGCTGTTTGCAGGAGCCTGCTGTGCACAAACTGGCTTCATCAGCTATGAAACGCTGTGTGTCCTGGCGGTACAGGCTGTCTGACCCTTCCAAAGCACTGTCCCAACAAACAACAACCACCAGCATTTACGTAGCACCTTGAACAGCGTGCTGTGCAGGAGCATTACCAGACAAACTCTGACAGCAAGTGTCACATCCTAACTGGGCCGGCCCCAGTGGCCTAAGAGTTAAGGCACTGGCCTCCTACGCCAAGGATTCTGGGTTCAAGTCCTGTCTGGGGTGAGTTGAATTCTGTCCTGAAACACTATTAGTTTTAAGGGCGGCACGGTGGCTCAGTGGTTAGCACTGCTGCCACATGTCGCCAGGGACCAGGGTTCGATTCTGCCCTCGGATGACTGTCTGTGTGGAGTTTGCACATTCACTCCCTGTGTCTGGGTGGGTTTCCTCTGGGTGCGGCTCCGGTGTCCTCCCGCAGTCAGGATGGGTAGATTAGGTGGGTTATAGGGGGATGGGTCCCCTGAGGGTCAGTGTGGGTTTGTTGGGCTGAAGGGCCTGTTTTGACACTGTAGGGATTCTATGGAAAGCAGACCATGTACCCCACAGGCCGTCACAAAATGGATCAAATCCCCATGAGACCGTTGGGTTGAGTGATTTACATGACTGACTGCTATTCAGGACCAAAGCAATTCACACCGGGTTTCATCGTGAATAGACAATAATCCCACTGTATTGTAACACAAGTAACTTCAATTAATCACATCAAGAAAACACTTGCAATTTTTCCCCTCAAGTGTGCAACAGTGATTTCAGAATCTCACAGCAACTACGTTATTTCCTTATTAAAAGCCCCAACTCTCCTTATATCCCACTTCCAATTCTCTTCCTTGTCCAAAAAGCATAAATTTCCGACATAATCAGGTATGTGGCAGTAACGGTTCACCAAATGCTTGTTCCCTGCCTGTTGCAGGAACACCACGTACCTTGAGCTGTGTGCATTTAACTGGCATGAAAGTGGAGTTGTAGGTAGACAGGGTTATGGTGGTGGTGTTTGCTACACTTGCTTTCATTGGGCAGTACATTCAGTACAAGAGTTGGGAGGCCATGTTGCGGCTGTACAGGACACTGGTGAGGCCACTTTTAGAATACTGCGTGCAATTCTGGTCTCCCTGCTATAGGAAGGATGTTGTGGAACTTGAAAGGGTTCAGAAAAGATCTACAAGGACGTTGGAGGGTTTCAGCGACAGGGAGACTTAGAATAGGCCAGGGCTATTTTTCCTGGAGTGTTGGAGGACTTGGGGTGATCATGAGGAGCATGGATAGGGTGAATAGCCAAGGTCTTTTCCCCAGGGTAGGGGGAGTCCAAAACTAGAGGAACATAGGTTTAAGGAGAGAGGGGAAAAGATTTAAAAAGGGACCTGAGGGGCAACTTTTTCACACAGAGGATGGTGCGTGTATGGAACGAGCTGCCAGAGGAAGTGGTGGGGGCTGGTATAATTACAACATTTAAATGGCATCTGGATGGGGACATGGATAGGAAGGGTTTAGAGGCATAGGGGCCAAATGCTGGTAAATGGGACTAGATTGATTTAGGATATCTGGTCGGGACAGATGGGTTGGGCTGGAGGGTCTGTTTCCGTGCTGTACATCTCTTTGACTCTATAAGCCTCAGCACCATCATCATAACA